TTCTTTCCTACAACAGTTTTACTGTGTAGCCCAGTGACCGATTCACAATCCTCCTGCCTCAGCCTCCCCAGAGCTAGCATTATAGGTGGACACCGCCATGACTGACCCAATCACATTTCTTGAGTGTTAAAAGAATATTCATCTTTTAAGACATACAAATACATAGTATAAGGTCTAGAAAATTAATGTCTAGAAGCCAAGGTGAGAACTTCGCTGGGGGGAGGGATGGGCCTGCTGAAAAATATCAAGGGTAAACAATGCATTTTGGTCCATACCCAGGAACAAAAATGAAATTGACTAATGAATGTCATTTTCAAATGCTTGAAGATCACATTATCTACAGAAAATGCCCTTCTGAATTAAGTGAGTCTGTTGCTACACACCCAACCTGCCTTTAGGAGTAGGACAATCCTCTATAAGGATCACCAGAAAAGAGATCTGGGAACAGTCTCCTGGAAATCCAGAGGCCGGCTCCTCCTCTCAGATAGAGACTTCCCCAGGATGAAGGAAGAATCCAGAGCAGAAGTCAAGCCTGAGTTCCAGTCCACCTCTACTTCAGATGGAATTACTCTGCTTCGCCACTGATACATCATTTGTTGATGGAGATTACTGGACGAGAGTCATTATTAGCCTTTCCATCAGGGGTGGCCCTTTTAGAAGAAGGTGGTATGCATTCTTCCCCCAGAATGACACACTTTTATACATGGATATAAAATCATACATTTGCAGAGAAGTAGAGGACCACAGGCCCATTGAGCTTATCTCTCTCTCCCCAGAGTTAAGATCACTGATGACTACCACAGGCTTTTAAAACAGAATGCAACACATAGGTATACAGAATCCCAAAGACAGCACTGAATCATTTGCAGGATGAAAACCCCTCCTCTGCAGAAACTGGCAGAGGAAGTGGTTACTTAGGGAAAATAAATCAGGAATGGAGAAGAGTCACCCTTGACTGAGGTATGGTCAGCTCTTTAAATACATAGAGCACCACCTGATTCCACAGTTACTCCACCTAGCTCAGTTCTAGGCTCTGTCATTTACTAGTGGTCTGACCTTGGGCCTTATGCCTTAATTTCTTCATCTATAAAGAAAGGACAGCCAGACATAGTGACATACCTTTAATGTCAGCACCCAGAAGGCAGAGACAGAGGTGGATCTCTTTGAGTTCAAGGACAGCCTGGTCTACAGAGTTCCAGGCCAGCCAGGGCTACATAGTGAGACCCAGTTGAAAGAAAGAAGAAAGGAGGGAAAGAAGGAAAGGAGAAAGGGAGGAAGAGAAGAAGGGAAGTCAGTAAGATTGCTTAGCAGGTAAAAGCACAAGCCTAACAGCTTCAGTTTGACAGCAGAGACCAGAGGCAGAAGGAGTGAACTGACTCCCAAACATTGTCCTGACCATCACATACACGCCATGGCATGTGTGGACCTGCACATACACAGAGATGGGAGGGAATTTAAATTGTTAAAATTTTTTAATTGTTTTTATTTTATGTGTATGATGCACTTGTGAGGGGCAATGCCCTTGGAGGTCAGAAGAGGGCACTGTATCCCAAGGAACTGGAGTTACAGGCAGGTGTTAGCTGCCACGTGGGTGCTGGGAATCCAACCCAGATCCTCTGCAAAAGCAGTCAGTGCTCTTAACCATTGAGCCATCTCTCCAGGCCCCATTTTTTTTAAAAAAACTTTTTTTTTAAATTTTGTTTCTTTTTATTTTTATTTTATGTGTATGTGTGTATTGCCTGCATATAGGTAAGTGCATCCGTGCCATGCAATGCCCATGGAGGTCAGAAGAGGCTGTCAGATCCCCTAGGACTGGAGTTACAGACAGTTGTTAGCTGCCATGTGGGTGCTGGGATTCAAACTCAGGTCTTCTGCAAGAATAATTAGTGTTCTTAACTGCTGAGCCATCTCTCCAGCCCCCCAAATTTTAAATTTTAAAAGGGTAAGATTAAAAACAACCTATCTTAGGGGCTGCATGTGTATGTTGAACACACACACACACAAACAAGTTCATCACTTGAAACTGAACCTGGCATATATTAAGCCCTAAATATTATAACCTTTTATAGAAACCTGGAACACATTTGCTTGGTGGTTACAATGTGAGCTGAGGATTTTAAAGAAGTCATAAATGCTTTAGTTCCCCCAGATGTAACAAAAACAATAATGAAATTGGCTGTATAGGTTGTTGTATGACTTGGTGAGACTGCCACATAAAATCTAATTTGCTTCTTCAGCCATTCTGGGATTGAATCCAGGTCCTCAGGGGCCAGTCAAATGCTCTACCACTGAGCTACACCCCTGTCCAGAGAAATCCTTTTTAAGCTGGGGGTTGTGGCATACATGTGCAATCCTAGAAGTTGGGAGGTAGAGAGCGGAAGATCAGAAGTTTAAGGTCATCTCTGCCTACAAGAGACCCTGTCTCAAAAGGCCAAAAGAGTAAATAAATAAAATAAAACTGGGTGTGATGGCACATGCCTGCAATCCCAACACCTGGAAAGGGGAGGCAAAAAGATCAGGAATTCAAGGCCTCAATATTGTGTTTGAGGCCAGCTCTGAGCTATATGAAACCCTGGCTCCAAAAAAAATTTTTTTTTTAATAGTGCCAGGTGTGGTGGTACACACCTGTAATCCCAGCACTTGGGAGGCATGGGCAGGAGGATCAGGAGTTCAAGGACATCCTCAGCTATGTAGCATGTTTGAGATTAGCCATATAAGACTCTGTCTCAAAAAATTAGTAAGGGGCCAGGCATGGTGGCACATGCCTTTAACCTCAGCACTCAGGAGGCAGAGGCAGGTGAATCTCTGTGAGTTCGAGGCTAGCCTGGTCTACATAGTGAGTCCCAGCACAGGTGGGGCTATGGGGAGACCCTGTCTCAAAAAAAGACCAAAAAAAAAATTAATAAGGGGCTAGAGAGATGGCTCAGAGGTTAAGAGCACTGAGTTCGAGGCCAGCCTGGTCTACACAGCAAGTGCCAAGCCAGCTGGGGCTACAGGGAGACCCTGTCTCAAAAAGACAAATAAATAAATAAAATAAATAAATAAATAAATAAAATAAAAGATGCTGAATAAGACAGACTTCACAGGCTACATAATAAGACCTTGTCTAAAAAAAGCCTGAATAACTAAACAAATAAATAAGGATTAGAGATGGCTAAGTATCTTGCCAAAGACATCTCTACTAGCAAACAAGTGTGCCAAGATTTCAACTGAGTCTGAAAGCAGAAGCTGTAACCACCGGACAACCCTCTGAAAACCCTAGATTGAACAAGGCCTGAGAACAGAAATGCTGACTCATAGCTATTACATCAGTAAGAAAAAGAAAGACCTTTGGTGAGGTCAGCCCAAAGTTGGGGGACTCTCCAACCTTAGTCAACACCCTTCTTTGCCATTCTTCAAAATGAAAGACTTTGTAGGCTGGACCCTTTCTCAAGCTGTTCTCTGTCTTTCACAAGTGGTTGTTACACCACAGTCCTGCAACCAAAGAGGAAAGAGAAACCAGTTCCCCCAATGGCTTAACTTAAAATGAAAGTAATGCTGTGCCAGGGCTGCAAAACGAGATGAAGAGTGTGCTGAAGTCAAGGAGAATACAACAGAAACTCTTTAAAAAGAGTTGAAAACGTTGAAAAAGAATGAATTTGCTTATTTCTATTTTCAAGACACCAATTTCAGAAACTGTTCCCATTGGTACAATAAAAGGAAGTGGGCATCACAACCCGGAGCACTGAAGGGGGAGGATGGTCACGACAGCAACCCCACCCCACCACCACCATGGGAACACTTCCTTTGAAGGTAGCACCAGCCTGAGTCCACTTCTGTAACCACAAAGTGAGAAGAACGGAGGACCAAGCTGACAGAAGAAACCCAATGTTCAGCTAAATAGAAGTCATTGCTAACGAGGTCTTCCAAATAGTTACTACTAAATGGATTCTACTTTTGTAAGGTTATTCTTGACAGCCTGTCAGTCAATCTCAAGTCTACCCCTTCCTTAAAAATAAATAAATGGGGGCTGGAGTACAGCTCAGTGGTAAGGTGTTTGCCTACTAGCATGTTCAAGGCCCTGGGCTCCATCCTCTGGACCAGGAGGGGAGCCAGGAAGAAGGCAGAAAGGGATGACTTTCCGGCTGTATCCCTGCCTTAGGGAGTCCTGTCACTTCATCACGGGAAGTAATGGCAGATTCCTCAGCCTCACTTGAGATACTGCTGGCAGGACACCAAACATCCTCTTGAGAAGTCCCTTCAGAGATGGATCAGTGGTTGGAGGCCCTTGACGTCACTGGTCCCCCTCAGGCCTCGCGACCAACCCAGTCCCAGGAAAGGAGGGGGCTTTCACGCACCTAAAGCTGGTGCCAGAACTTGGGCATGAGAAGCCTACCAGGTGCGGGGCCTCGCCCTGCCCCACCCGCTTCCCCGCATTTTCCTCCAGGACCTGGGTTCCCCCCTGGTAAAATGAAAGGGTTGATGGAGATCACGTGAAACCTCCCTCCTGCTCTGGGTTTCTAGTCCATCACTCCACATCAGTGTGCCTCGCGGAGACAGAAGTCCTTCCCGTCATGCAGACCACATCGCGCTGCATTCTGTGGCCATCTCCAGCTTCATGATCCGTGTAATTTTAGAAAACTACGATGCTTCCAGAATCCAGAGCAGGCTGTTGCTTCCCCAGTCACCAAACCTTTTCTCTGCGGTCTTTTCCATCAATCCCACAATCCCACAAAAGAAAAAAAATATCCTTGCCAGCCCCTCCCAGAATCTAAACTCAAAGCTACCTTTCCTTAAATTTAAAGATTCCCACGCGCACCCCGCCGGGTGGAGGGACCACCACTTTCCGGTGTCTCCACCCCCGTTCAGCCCCTCCCGCGCTCCGGAGCCGGGCTGAGCAGGTGCATCCCGCGGGCACCCGGCGGCCGCTCCTCCACTCAGCTCCCTGCCCGGGAACCGGAGCCTGGCAGCGCTCGCCCGTCCCCGCCCACAAGCCTCCCCGGGGGTCCGTGGTCACCTACCGGCCGTCCTCGCGGCAGCGCGGCCAGGGCCCGGCGGAGCGCTGAGTTTGCTGACTCAAAGGCGCGGCGCGGCGGTGGCGAGCGCCCAGGAGCGCACCCGAGCGAGCGCAGCCCAGAGTTCCCCGCGCACGCTGCGGCCCCGCGCCGGCGCCCCAAGCCGCCTCCGCCTCCGCCTCCGCCGCCTGCCCAGGTGCGGCCGCGGGACCCGCCTCCCCTCAAGGCGTGACGGAGCTGGACTCCTCCCGCCGCTTGGCCGGACCAGGCGGAGACCCACTTCGCCCGCCCTCCTGACCGCAGCACTGGCGAAGGCGGAGCGGTTGCAGAGACCAGGGTGACCCCGAGCTAGCCGTGGAATCTCGACGGAGGGCGTGTGACTGCTGTAAAATATTTTCTTGAACTCTGTCTTTTTCTTTTTCAACTTTTATGTATTTTCATGAACTATGGGGAGATCCATCTGGGCGTTTCCCAAACTGCGCCTTGGACAGGGTTTCACCCACCTCTGTGCATGGAAAATCTCAATAGTTCGAGTGTTAAGAGGTGATTTGTTGCAGAATAGTGAACGTGGCCTGATATTTCAACTTCAAACTTGAATTTTCCCGTTAATCTCTGTGGCTATCCTAGGTTCGCTTGGAAATAGTCTTATCTTCTGTAGACCCCAGCTGTCCTGGAACTCTGTAGACCTGGCTGGCCTTGAACTCACAGAGATCTGCCTGCCTCTGCCTCCCGAGTGCTGGAATTAAAGGCATACACCTCCACACCCACACCCAGCTCTTTAAATTATTTCTCTTTGTTGATTATTTTCATTGTAGGGTATGAGTGTATTGCCTACACGTGTGTAAGTACACCCCTGTCGTGCAATGCGGAGGAGGTGGCACCAGAAGGTCAGAAGAGGGATTTGGATCCCCTGGAACTGGAGTTGTGGATGGTTGTTAGCCTCCATGGAATCGAACGGTCCTCTGCAAGAGCAGTCAGTGTTCTTATCCACTGAGCCATCTCTCCAGCTCCTACATTAAATTCTTATGTGATGATTAAAACATTTAAGAGTGGTTATGTTTGTTAATGGGATTATTAATCAGGTTTTTAATTGTTAAAATTTGATGAAAATTTAAGTAGAGTAAGATTACTTAAAGGAGCTAAGTGAAGTAGCTCATATCTGTAATCTCAGCACTCAGGAGGCAGAGGATGGAGGATTACAGCAAGTTCAAGGCCAGCTTGATCTACTGGCCAAGTTCCAGCCTAGTCAGAGCTTCTTAGCAACAGATTAGGAAACAAATAAGGGGCCCAACAGTTAAGAGAGCTTGTTGCCCTTCAAGAAGACCTGGTTAGGTTCCCAGCACCCATGTTGGGTGACTCACAACTGCCTATACTTACAGTTCCAAAAGATCTGACACCCTCTTTCGGCCTCTGTAGGCACCTGTGAGAGTGCGCGCAAAGGCACACACACACATAAAACTAAAAATAAATTTTAAAACTTACATCAATAATTTTAATAATATAAAACAGCACCACGATAGTGTTTTCTGTGCACAAAAACTTCTTTCACTAGCATAAAAAACTTCACATCAACAATTATTACCATTTCTTTTTCTCTCGGTACAATTGTTTCAAGGTGGTAATGGGTGGTATTTCTATGTCTATGATAATGGAGACCTCAATTCTTTGCTCATTTTCTTGTTATAGTTATGTGAGTACACCACTAATAAGCCTTTACCCTGCATTTTATCCACCCAAATTCTGCCCGAAAGGAGACTTTAGAATCAAGGTAACTGGATTCAAATCCTTTCTTTACCATCACTTGCATTAGAATCACGGAAAAATAACTTCAACCTTCCAGGCCTCGCTTCTGCATTTGAAAGGTGAGGATGACAGCAATAGTAGCAGCTCCACAGCATGCTGCAGGGTTAAATGAAGGAACCCAGATAACTGTGCTGGGTACATGGTAAGTATGCCACACATCGTAGCTGCCCCACCCCTGTGTTTTGTATACATGTGTGAATATGCATGGGAGGCCAGATAACAACTTTGGGTGTCATTCCACAGAAGCCATCTTTTTTTTTTTTAAGGTAGGGCTCTCACTGGCCTACAACTTGCCAAGTTGGCTATAATCAGTGAGCCCCGGAGATCCACCTATCCCCCCCAGCAATGGGGTTGCAAGTGTGTGCCACCACACTTGCCTTTTATTTATGTGAGCTCTGGGGATTCAAGTTGGAGCCTCTTGCTTACAAAGCAAGTACTTTACCAACTGAGCTATTTCCCCAGTCCTATCATTTTGACTGTTGAGACAGGATCTCAACATGTAGCCCAGGCTGACCCTGAACCCACTATGTAGTCCAGGCTAGCCTTAAATTTGAATCAGCCTCCCGAATCCTGGGATTACAGGCCTGCACTACCATGCTCAGCTCATTTTGGTTATTAGTATGACATGATCTTCTCATCTCATCCATCTCAACTAAATGCTCTGAGATACATTAAAGAAGGCCACCTCCACCCTCCCTCTCACTGGGGTTCTTATTCTCAGATTTGCAAAATCCATAAGGCAACAAAAAATGGAAGTTGACTGGGTATGGTGGTGATGCCTTTAATCCCAGACTTGGGAAGTAGAGGCAGGCAGATTTGTGAGTTCTAAGCCAGTTTGGTATACATAGCAAATTCTGGGCTACCCAGAGCAAAATAGGGAGACCCTGTGTAAAGAAGTTGCTGGGCTCTGTGTTCAGACTTTGTAATTAACTTCAGAGGTAGGTAGATGGAGGACAGGTGAGTAGGTCAGGGTTTCACTATGTAACCAGGCTGACCTCAAGTCCCATCCTCCTGGCTCAGCCTCCTGAATACCTGAGATTAGAAGTATGAAGCATCATGTCCAGCTCTTAAAAACACTGTGCCTGCTGGGTGTGGTGACCCATGCCTTTAATCCCAGCACTCACGAGGCAGGGACAGGGAGACCTCTGTGAGTTCAAGGCCAGCTGGTGCTACAGGGGAGACCCTGCCTCAAAAAGACCAAGAAAAAAACAAAAAAACAAAAAACACCCTGCCCTTAAATGATCCTACCTTCCTGAATCACTATCACTGGAGATAATGTGCAAAGAATAGTTTTTAACCATTCATCAAAAGACGGGTACTAGCCGGGTGTGGTGGCACAGGCCTTTAATCCCAGCACTCAGGAGGCAGAGGCAGGAGGATCTCTGTGAGTTCAAGGCCAGCCTGGTCTACATAGTGAGTTCCAGGATAGCTGGGGCTACAGGGAGACCCTGTCTCAAAAAGACCAAGAAAAAAAAAAAAAAAAGATGGACACTAAGCCCTGTATGGTGGTACATGCCTTTAGTCCCAGCACTCGGGAGGCAGAGGCAGGCAGATCTCTGAGTTCAAGGCCAGGCTGGTCTACATAGTGAGTTCTAGGCCAGCTGGGGCTACAGGAAGAAGCTGACTCAGAAAGAAAAGTAAAAAAAAAAAGAAAAAGAGTATCTAACATCCTCACATTTTACCATATATAAAACCACAAGTCAAAAGACAATTCTCAGAGTAAGTGCCAAATGTGTACAAGGAGAATTATGACCACAGGATGTGCTGCTGTGCGTTCATGCATCTTTGAAGGATCAACAGGAGCACACACCCAAACACAGGTGAGTGTCTTGCCCACAACTGGTCCTATGATGGGCACAGCCTTGATAGCCTGTTCATTCTGCTTTATCAAAAAAACTCATTTTTTGGCCAGGCATGGGGATACCTGTCTTTGATCCCAACACCCAGGAGGCAGAATGAGGTCCAGGCCAGCCAGCACTACACAGTAGACCCTGTCTTAAGTAAAAAAACGCCTTGGGGCTGGAGAGGTGGCTCAGTAGTTAAGAGCACTGACTGCTCTTGCAGAGAATCCAGGTTCGATTCCCAGCACTGACATGCAGGCTGACAACTGTCCGTAACTCCAGTTCCATGGGATCCAACACCGTTTTCTGACTTCTGTGGGCATTGCACAACATGGGTGCACTTAACAAACATGCAGGTAATACACTCATACACATAAAATAAAATAAATTTTAAGTTAAAAAAAAACTGACAAAAAGCCGGGCATGGTGGCACATGCCTTTAATCCCAGCACTTAGGAGGCAGAGGCAGGTGGATCTCTGTGAGTTCGAGGCCAGCCTGGTCTACATAGCAAGTTCAGGCCAGCTGGGGCTACAGGGAGGCCCTGTCTCAAAAAGATCAAAAAAAACCCTGACAAAAAGTTTAGTGTTATTGAACATATCTCAAACATAAACCAAGTCCCAAGCTGGTTCATTCCTAGGCCTTTGGTATAAATTGCCGTATGGTAATGTTAGTACCAACAATCAATGAGCAAGAATCTGTGGAGAAGCCCTTCCCTCTGTTTGCAGTGCTGAGAGTTCTTGCTCCCTCCTGCTAGGCTGAAGCCTAGTCCCCCACCACACCCTGGCTCTGCTTAGATCTTGGGTGCATTGTACTCAGCAGCCATATGGAGGCAGTAGAGCGCAGTGGTTAAGGCTCCAGTGCTAAAAACGTTTTTCTTAATCCCAAAACTTCTAGTCATCCCCTCAGAACTGCTGGGTATAGCACAGTCTAAGGATGTTCAAATCCTCATATGAATATGTTTCATATTTCCCTCAACCTACACACATCTTCCCATACACTGTTTAAATCATCTCTAGGTTACTTAAAATACCTACAATGTCACTGCTATAGAAAAGTTATGTTTGTATTGCTTGGTGAATGACAACAGGAAAAGTCAAAGTATGTCAACACAGACACATTTTTTTAGAAGTTTTTAAATTTTTTATTTATTTTGTGTGTGTGTGTGTGTGTGTGTGTGTGTGTGTGTGTGTGGTCACTGGAGCTAAGGCGCATGCCCATGGGAGGTCAGAGGACAATTTCCTGGAGTTGGTTCTCTCCTTCCATCATGTGGGTCCCAGGTGATCAGTTTTGATGGAAGGCACCTTTCTTCACCCAATGAGTCATCTCCGTAGCCTCAACTTTTTTTCCCAAACAGGTTCAATCCTCAGTTGATTGAGTTCGAGGATGCTAAACTTGAGGCTTCAGAAGGCCAACTGGACTTAGTAGCCAAGTGACATTGGGCAAAGCATGTGACCTTTCTGAATAAATTATCTGTGAAATGACAACATGTTGGCTGGGT